GGATCTTTGAGGGTGAGGGTGAGGATCATCGAGGGGGAAGATCATTGAGGGGGATGGTGATTCAGGAGGATCATTGAGGGGGAGGGGAGGATCATTGAGGGTGAGGAGAAGGTGATTGAAGGTGTTTGACAGAATGGAGGTGTTGCTCCCGAGGAGCACGGTGCTGATTAAAAGACTTACCCCGGTACCGATACGGAGTGCTGATGTCGAAGCACGGGCTGCAGTCATCGGTGGCCTCGCTAGGCCTCCTTTACTCATCGGTCGGGCCGACGATGGGGGCCTCTGCCCACTCGCCATTGTCAAACTCAGCAAAACCCCACACTCCTAGAGAAATAGCAACCGCCAGCGCGCCTGCGCCACTCCGTCTCCCAGCAACAGAAGGCCCCGCCCCCTAACGCTTCAACCGGAATCCGTCAAAAAACGTCACACCATAGTCCCCGCCTCCAACGTGACGCACAGGGTCCCGCCCCTGACAGGTTTCCGACTGCCATTGGCTGATTGCAGACCTTTCTCCCGCCCCTCGACCCGTCTCCCTGCTCCGGTTGGCCACGCCGCATTGTCAATTAGCTCCTCTGATGTTGCCTGGCCTGCTGTGTTCCTCCAGCTCCACACTGTGTTATCACAATTAGGCTGCTCTGGGTTCATCACCTCCAGTGCCACCCGGTGGGGAAGCAATGGGTGTGTGAGGGAGGGACTGTGCGTGTGAGTGAGAGACTGCAGGTGTGAGGGAGGGACTGTTGGTGTGTGTGAGGGACTGGGAGTGTGAGTGAGGGAGAGACTGCAGGTGTGAGGGGAGGACTGGGCGTGTGAGGGAGGGACTGTGGGGATGTGAGGGAGGGACTGGGTGTGTGAGGGAGGGATTGTGGGTGTGAGGGAGGGACAGTGGAGGTATGAGGGAGGGACAGTGGGTGTGTGAGGGAGGGACTGTGGAGGTATGAGAGAGGGACTGGGTGTGTGAGGGAGGGAAGGTGGGTGTGTGAGTGAGGGACATTGGGAGAGTGAGGGATGGGGTATGTGAGAGTGAGACAGAGAGACGGGCTGAGAGAGGGATGAGTTTCCCAGTATGAAGAATGTGCAGTAAGTGAGGGACCATCGAAATGCGAGGAAGTGAATGTCAGCGTGAGAGGGACTATCGGAGTGTGAGGATATGCATAGCCATGACAGGACAGTCAGAGTGTGAAGGAGAGAGTGGGTTGTGAGAGAAGCACAGTCGTGAGCGGGAAGGAAGTACAGTCCGTGTGTGAGAGAGGGAAAATCGTGAGGGAGAGACAGTCGATGAGAGGCAGGGACAGTCAGATATTGAGTGATGATCACTCGACATGAGAGATTGGGAGGGTCCGGGTTTGTGTGAGAAAAGCACAGTCGTTGCGTGGGAAACAAATGGAGAGACGCTGTCGAAATGTGAAAGATAGACATTTGTCGTGGGAGAGAAAGGAATTCGAGGTGCGAAGGAGCGATAGTCGTGAGTAAAGTGTTAGTCGGAGTGTAAGGCATGGACAGTTGGATTTTGAGGGAAGTACAGTCGGAGTGTGAAGCAAACTCATTCGATGTGAGAGAGAAAGAGTTGGGATGTGAGCAATGGACAGTCTGCGGGTGAGGGAGGAAAAGTCTGAAGGATGGACAATCGTCATGGGAGAGAGACCAGTTCGGACTGTGAGGGAGGAATAATCGGGGTTTTCGGTGAAGGAAAGATAGTTTGTGCATGAGAGACAGGTTCGGAGTGAGAGGGCGAGAAAGTCGTAAGGAGGGACACTAGACATGAGAGGGTGGGAAAGCATAGTCGTGTGGAATAAAGACTGTTGGAGTGTGAAGGAGGGACAATAGAGAGAGAGAGACTGTCGAAGTATGAAGCATGGACATTCATCGTGAGAGAAACTTCTTCGAGGTATGAGGGAGGGATGGCGGTAAAGGAGGCACAGTCAGAGTATGAGGAAAGGATAGTCGTGAGGAAATTGTTAGTCGGATTGTGAGGGGGGACAGGTGAATTTTGAGAGAAGCACAGTCAGTGAGAAAGAAACTGTCGCTGTGTGAGGGAGGGAAATAAGGACAGTCGGAATATGAGGAAGGTACAATTGGGTTCGAGGGAAGCACAGTCGGAGTGTAAGGGAAGGATAGTTCCCATGAAGGACAGTCGGGTTTTGTGTGAGAGTAGGACGGTCGGAGTGTGGGGGAGGTACGGTTGGGTTTTGAGGGCAGCACAGTCGATGTGTGAGGAAATTGCAATCGGCATGTGAAAGAGATTGGCCAAGCGTGAAGAATGTGCATTGGTCTCGGGAGAGAGACCAGTTCGGAATGTGAGGGCGGGAAAGTCGTGAGGGAAGCACAGCTGAGAGTATGAAGAAGGGATGGTTGGGTTTGAGGGAAGTACAGTCTTGAGTGTGAAGGAAGCTCATTTGACGTGTTGTGTCAGAGAGAGACAGTCGGAGTGTGAGGCAGGGACAGTAGTTTTTTTTTGTGAGGACAGTCAGCGATGAGGCAAACATGTGAACTGTGATGGAGGGATTGTTGGATATTGAGGACAACACAGTCGGCGTGCGTGAACTCACCAGCAGTGTTACGAGGGCGAGAATATGAAGGAGTTCAGTCCGTTTACTGCGAGGGAACGACAGTCGTGTGGGAGGGCAGTTCTTAGCAGGAAGTTTTTGAGGGAGTAACGAGGGAGCTCCCCTTCAATACTTACCTTTTTTTTTTCCAGAGGGGTTATTTCAGAATCAGCTGAATGGTGTCACTGAGAACAGTTGGCCCCGAGGTCCTCATTGGATAACATTGCCCTCAAAAGCAGTACCAAGGAACTACATTTCTGTAGCGCCCTTCAGAAGGTTATTTTTCGGCAATTTAATTACATCTGAATAGTTGTTACACTTCTAAGACAGGAAAGAAAATAATTATTGTATTTTGATACCACAAACATCAATGTGCTGGAGATCCAGAAAATCAGTTATATTGTTCATGATTATCATTTGGCTCCTGTTGCCTGCTCCACCATTTAACTTAAATCCACATCCTGCCTACCCTTTCAATCAACTTTGTTAGCCAAGAAACTATCTGCTGTTGCGTTAAAAGTACTTGAAGACTCCATCTGCATTGCTTTCTGTGGAAGAGTTCCAATTGCTTAAGACCATATGAGAACAAAGAAAACTCCTCTCTGTCCTAACCCTATCACTTCTTTGCATCCAATCCAAGATATCAGTTGTGAACCTTCTCTGAACCATTGTTAATGCATTTGCATCCTGTTTATCACCGGAACATTAGGAGAACTGATCTTTGAAATAATTGCCAAAATATTTTTGATGTGCACCAGATTTCATCCAAGACAGCATGTCTGATAGAGTAATGTTCCATCAGCACTGAAAGACAATGTAGTGCTTCCTCAATACCAACTCTCTACTAGTACAGTGCTCTGACAGTACTGTGCCTCTAATAGGAGGTACTTGCTCAATACTGACTTTTAAACAGGGAAGTACAGCCTCTGTACCAATGCTCTTAAGGTGCAGCACTCCCTCAGCATTGACCTTCCATCAGCACAGCACACATTCAGTACAGACCCTTTGATGCTGAGCTCCTTCAATACTGACCATCCAACAGTTCAGTGCTATCCCACTAGTCATTCTCTGACAATGCATCACTCATTAAAAACTGACCTTCCAATAGTACTCTGTACTAATCCTCCAATGAAACTGCTGTCTCTTGAACTTCTAGCAATGAAACACTCTCCCAGTAGTTCCTTCATTTCTCTATATCAGTCTCAATCAGTGCCTCTGAAACATTTTTGGTTTAGATAGCTGTTTTCAAATAGTTAATAATAGTTAATAATAAAAATTATGATAGCATGAAACCTAACTTGAAAGTTTTTCAGTTATACTTTTAAGAAAGTTGATATATACCTACAGATATCAATCAGATTGGTTGCCTCCTTCATATTGCAGAGTTGGAGTATCAATTTCAAGAGCTCATGGGGCGGACCAAGAGCCTGGAGAGAACAGGAGCCATTGGAGAGTACAATGTAGGGAAATCGTTAAAGGAGCAGAGAAAGATCAGAAGCACTCTTCATTTTGAGGTAACATCACTGACTCAAGCAAGATTGTAGTTGAATGACATCTGCATTTCCAAGTATACTGTTTATAGTGAAGAAGCTAGAGTTGGAAGACCAGTAGATTATCCAAAATTTTGCGAGAAGGTTGCTTGTGAACGTGACAGGAGAGACCTCATCATCGATCTTCACACTTTCCAGGGAGATCAGCCAACAATGGAGTGAAATGCCAATGTTTCTTCTGCGCTACCATGGAAATCCAAAGCTACAGCAGCTTGACGGGAGGTTCCACCACTGAAACTAACAGCTCATGACTACACTTGATATCCAGGTCAACTGAGGGAATCTGAGAGAATGAGAATCAAAAAGCAGTGGGAATATGAAGAAAGCAGGACAAAAATGAGAGAACACCCAGACCGGAGACAACACAAGTTAAGAGATCTCAATGAGACATTCAGAGAGTGTTGGAAACCTGAGGGAGCTTAAACCAGGGGCTGCCGATGGCTGGAGAGATTGAAAGGCTGTAAGCATCTTGGCAGTAGGGACTGAAAGTGTGTAGAATTTCAATGCTGTCTCTGTCCTCTATTTCTTTCTGACTTCTGCCCAGCCGATTCTTCAATCAAAGAAAACAGGAGCCTAGAGAATGTGGGGGAAAGAGCCATAGAAATTGGAAGGCTCGTGGCAACTGGAACCTGGAATCTGTAGGAGCCAGAGACAGTAGAAGCATTGAGAGATGGTGTGTGCTGAGAGAGATCTAGAAGCTGGAGTGAGTAGGAGAAAAGGAAAGTATGGGAATGCATTGTAAACAGGAGCTACATTTAAAATTAATGAAGCCTGAGATTGGGAGCATGCCAGGATCTGAAATCCAAGTAGAGTTGGAGTTTGGCGATCGCAGGAGCTGGAGGGAGCACAAATCTTTTGAGAGTGTGACTCTTACACAGTGTGACTCTTGAAATAGTGGAACGCTGAACACTGCCAGAGCCTAGGAACCAGATGCAAGTGAGACTGCATGAGAAAGGGAGAGTACTCCAAAAATAGCAGGAGGCAGAGTGGCTGGAAGGTGGAAGAATGCAGGGCTATAGACATAAGAAGCCTGAGGCAAGGGAATCCAGAGGTTGCAATTAGAGATTGTGGGATAATTGCTCAGCCCTGAGATAGTAGAAACCAGGTGTTAGATGGAGGCTAGAGAGAACAGGATCCCATACAGAGCAGGAACCTGAAGAGGTTGGAGACCTGATGGAATTGAAGTGCAGTGTGAGTACGGTCTGGAAGAGAACAGGAACTGACAAAGTCAGAATGGCAGAGCATTCACAAAAATGGAACAAAAGGGAGCCTGGGGAACAGCTGACACTAGAAGAATGTGAAAAATCTGACTGAAGGCAGAGTTAGTTTAATCTCCATTGGAAGGTGAACAGAGAAGGATTAACAGCTTAAAGAAGCTGAGTAATGCAAAGAGGAGTGGACACAGGCAACCAAGGAAATGAGGACCTTTCAGAGAATTAAACAAGGGAAAGTGGACATTAGACAATGCAAGACAATGGATGGGAGCGGAGACTGCATGAATACTGAAGAACTAAAATATGAAGAGAACTGAAGAAACGGCTGGGCAGAAGTCAGAAAGAAATAGAAGACAGAGTCACCTCCTGAGAGGCAGGAGGAAGAGCTCGAAAGTGTAACAAGTGTGAAGTTTTGGGGGCCACTAGAAGCAGTACCAAAGAGAAGAGCTCAGATGTTGAGCAGCCCTGAAGAAAACATATGGGTGGATGACAGCCCAAAGAGTGTGAATCCAATGTTTGCAGATGCAAGTGAGTGTGAATGAGAATGCAAGCGCATGCTGAAGATAACAGAAAGCAAATGATTGGAAGCCTGTTGAGCTAAAGACTTTCGCCAGAGTGGTGACCTGGGGCAAAAGGAATCTAGAGTATGCAAATTCAAGATCATGGGATGATTGTGGAGGCCTGATAGAGCAGGAGCTCGGCTGAAGAGGGAGGCTAGAAAGAACATCATTGCATTAGGAACAGCTGCCTGTAGAGATTGGAATCTTGATAAATTGAAGTGCAGAATCAGTTTGATCTGAACGAGAACAGGAATCTGCAGAGAACAGAATGCCAGAACATGCAACAGAATGAAACAGAAAACAGCCTAGGAAAGAACTTGCATCAGAAGAGTGTGAGCCCTGACTGAAGACAGAGCCAGCTTGATATTGGGAGGAGTATGAACACAGAAGTATTGGCAACCTGAAGAAAATGGCAGCTGAGCAAATGCAAAGATGAATGGGTATTGGTGAACAAGATACCTGAAGGAAAAGAGAAGCTTTGAGAGAGTGAAACAGGGACAAGCATGTACCAGACAAGGTGAGAGACTAGATGTTACCTGGAGCTTACACTAGTGATGAATAAATAGAATATGATGAGAACTGGAGAATGAGATGAGCAGAAGACAGACAGAAGTAGAGGAAAGAGACAGAGCTCCCTCGAAGCAGAAGGAAGTGTCTGAAAGGTGACAAGCAAGGATGAATTAGAAGCCACCAGAAGTGGACACTAGGGAGAAGAATCAGATAGTGAGAACCCCTGAAAAACCAAATAGATGAAGCACAAGCCCAAGAGAGTGCAAAGCCAATGTTTGCAGATGCAAGTGAGAGTGAATGAGAATGGGAGCACACACTAAAGAAAGCAGAAAACAGAGTAACTGCAAAGCTGGAGAGCCAAAGACTGGATCCAGGAGAGTGACTTGTGTTGAGAAGAATCTAGAGAGTGCAAACTGAAGATTGTAGGATGCTTGCAGAGACCTGAGAGAGTGGAAGATCAGTGTGAGAGGCAGTCTGGAGAGAATGCCATCGCATTAGGAACAGATGCCTGAAAAGATTTGAGCTCTGGATTTGAAGTACAGAGTGAGTTTGATCTGAAACTGAACAGGAGCCTACCATGAGCCTGCATTCAGCAGAATGGAACAAAAAAGAACCCAGGAAACAGTTGACACCAGAGGAGTGTAAGAACCCTGACAGAAGGCAGAACCAGTGTGAGTTCAGCAGGAGCTTGACTAAATGAGTGCAAAGGCAATTTGATACTTGTCAATTAAGCCAAACTGAGGAAAACAGGAATTTTGAGACAGTGTAGTGGGGGCAAGAGGACTCCAAACAATGCAAGAGCCTGGATTAGTGCAACTTACAAGGTAGCTTTGAGACCATGGTGAGTAGTAGCCTGGAGAGAATTGAAGCACAAAGAGAATGGGAGCCCAGAGAGTGAGAACAGAGAGGACGTGTGAGCTTGGATACCACAGTACCAACAAGAACGGAAGCTCTGAGCATGTGGGAGTAATCAGATTAGAGTTGCGTAGCATAAGTATGTGCTTGGTGTCTGTCAGGGCCCAAGAAGCTAAGTGCATGCAGATGCATCACAAACCTGCAGAGAGTGGCAGATTGATGGCGGTAATAGCTTGTAGAAAGAGGGAGCTAGAGATATCGATCCTGGAGAGGGCCAGTGACTGTTTAGAGAAGTAACATCAGCAGAACAGGAGTTCCGATAGAATGAGAGCCCAGAAAGAGCAGGAAAGAGGAGAGAATGGCTGCTCTCAGCAGATGGAAGCTAGGAGAGAGCAGGAGTTCGCTCATGCTGGAGCCAGGAGAGTTGTATGAGTTTGGATAACTTGTAACCCTAATGTTCCCAGATGCATGTTTGGAACAGAACAGAAACAGCAGCTGTAGGGAGTGAGGAGGCCCTCATCTATGTAGTTTGCCGGAGAGTACAAAAGTCTAGAATAAAAACAAAGTTGCTGG